CTGCAAAACTCCGGGATGCATTCTGTACATGGACCGCCCCCAGAAATGTCATTTCATGCTGTGTGATTGGCTCACTGATGTTCCCAAAAGTCAACACTAAGTTACATACTAAGGCATCCCCTGCAATAGGAATTTCAGTTTCGGGTGAGATAGTCCCCCCCAAGGGTTAAATACCAGTAAAGGGATGCAGACCCTGCAACCTTCCTCCTCAGAACACTGAGAGCGCACCAGGTGATTATAATGTACCAGACCCTCCCCTTCACAAACCTCAGACCCCTCCCATTCACCAACCTCAGACCCTCCCCTTCACAAACCTCTGACCCCTCCCATTCACAAACCTCAGACCCCTCCCATTCACAAACCTCAGACCCCTCCCATTCACAAACCTCAGACCCCTCCCATTCACAAACCTCAGACCCTCCCCTTCACAAACTCAGACCCCTCTATTCACAAACCTCAGACCCCTCCCATTCACAAACCTCAGACCCCTCCAATTCACCAACCTCAGACCCCCCTTCACCAGACCCTCCCATTCACAAGCCTCAGACCCCTCCAATTCACCAACCTCAGACCCTCCCCTTCACCAACCTCAGACCCTCCCATTCACAAGCCTCAGACCCCTCCAATTCACCAACCTCAGACCCTCCCATTCACAAACCCAGACCCTCCCATTCACAAACCTCAGACCCCTCCAATTCACCAACCTTAGACCCTCCCATTCACAAGCCTCAGACCCCTCCAATTCACCAAACCTCAGACCCCTCCATTCACAAACCTCAGACCCTCCCATTCACAAACCTCAGACCCCTCCAATTCACCAACCTTAGACCCTCCCATTCACAAGCCTCAGACCCTTCCATTCACAAACCCAGACCCCTCCAATTCACCAACCTTAGACCCTCCCATTCACAAGCCTCAGACCCATTCCTGCAATGTACAGAGAGCACCCAGAGGGGGTGGGGTTTTCTCAGCAAGGCGGAGTTACTCTCCTCTGCACATATAATGTCAGAATGGCAGAAAAAGAATGAATTGTATGAGAAATGCCGAGAGTCATTCTACAACGGAGGAGAGCGCAGTCTCCATCCCATCGCTCCTATTGGCTCCCATACCGATCCCTTCCCTATTGGCTTTCCTCCTCTCCTACTTCTCTGGGGCAACCAGACCTGACTCAACACAACCCGACCCAACCCAACCAGACCTGACTCAATTCAAACCAACCCGACCTGACTCAACACAACCCGACCCATTCCAACCTGACCCATTCCAACCCAACTAGACCTGACTCAACACAACCCGAACCATTCCAACCCAACCCAACCCAACCTGACTCAACTCAACCCGAACCCATTCCAACCCGACCTGACTCAACACAACCCGACCCATTCCAACCCGACCTGACTCAACCCAACTAGACCTGACTCAACACAACCCGACCCATTCCAACCCGACCTGACTCAACCCAACTAGACCTGACTCAACACAACCCGAACCATTTCAACCCAACCTGACTCAACTCAACCCAACCCCGACCTGACTCAACAAACCAACCTGACTCAACTCAACCCGACCCATTCCAACCCAACCTGACTCAACTCAATCCAACCTGACTCAACCCAACCTGACCTGACTCAACCTAACCCAACCAGACCCAACTCAAACCAACCCGACCAGACCCAACTAAACCAGATCTGACTCAATCCAACTCAAACCAACATGACGCATTCCAACCCAACATGACCCAAAACCAACCAGACCTGACTCAACCCAACCCAACCAGACCTGACTCAACCCAACCCAACCAGACCTGACTCAACCCAACCCAACCAGACCTGACTCAACCCAACCCAACCCGACCTGACTCAACTCAACCCAACCAGACCTGACTCAACCCAACTCAAACTCAAACCTGACCCATTCCAATCTGACCCAACCAAACCGGACCTGACTCAACCCAACCCGACTCAAACCAACATGACCCATTGCAACCCAACCCAACCCAACAAGACATGACTCAAACCAACCCAACCCAACTCAAACCAACCCAACCAGACCTCATTCAGCTCAACCCAACCCACTCAAACCAACCCGACCCAACCAGACCTCATTCAGCCCAACCTGACCCAACTCAAACCAACCCGACCCATTCCTACCCGACTTGACCCCACCCAGACAGGACCAGACCCGACTCAACCCAACCAGACTCCACCTCACCCAATCCAACCAGACCTGACCTGACTTAACCCAACCTGACCCCACTCAGCCAGACCTGACCGAACCCAACTGAACTTGACCCAACCCATTCCATTTCCCATCCTGCTGTAACAATTGTAAAGGGTATTTAGTTATTTAGTTGAGTAATGTATTCTCCCTTCCCTGGATCCCCTCCCCCTCATCAACATAATAATGAACCTTGACAATAAAATGTTTCCATTTTCATTCTATGTCTTATGTTACAGCTTGTGATGTCATCACTGGGTCTCTGTGCTTCTCTATGCAAATGCAGGCAGCTGGTGGGAGGGACTGGCAGGGGGCTGTAAATAGCTTCCTGAAAACATCACAGCACCCCACTTCAGTACTCCTCTCACAAGCCCTCAGTCCTGATGCAAGCAATGGGAGGAGTTATGCAAATATCACAATGCCTAGGCAGGGTGTTTTTACATAGATAACGCCCACATGTGATGCTGAGCCTACATGATTGAAAGAACTGAGATCCAATGAATGAAATGGGCGGGGCCGGGGAGTCAGGCTGGGGAGGGAAGTTCTAGATGACGCTGGACGTCCTCCAGCCATGAAATGACCGGCTGCTGCTTCCAATGCACATTGTGAGACACTCCCAGCGTGCAGCAAATATATACATATATATTACATAGGGCAGTGTGCTATCTGCCCCCCCCCCACACTCTCTGACCCCAATACCCCCCCCCCACACCCCCTCCATGAGGATATACTGTATATGGAGTCTCTGTATATCCTCCCAATAGACTGGCTGTGTCCGGAGGAGTGCGCCGCCATCTGCTGGACATTCCTGTGTAGTACAACACAGACTCTGCAGGCGGCCAATCATCCGACCTGTGATGACAGATAATGAAGAACGCTGATCGGGGGGGGGGGGGGAAGACAGAGAAGACGGGGGGGGGGGGGGAAGAACAGAGAAGACTGGGGCAGAGAAGACGGAGGGGGGGGGGGGGCAGAGAAGACGGGGGGGGGGGGGCAGAGAAGACTGGGGGGGGCAGAGAAGACGGGGGGGGGGGGGGGGGGGGCAGAGAAGACTGGGGGCAGAGAAGACGGAGGGGGGGGGGGGGGCAGAGAAGACGGGGGGGGGGGCAGAGAAGACTGGGGCAGAGAAGACGGGGGGGGGGGCAGAGAAGACGGGGGGGGGGGGCAGAGAAGACTGGGGCAGAGAAGACGGGGGGGGGGCAGAGAAGACTGGGGCAGAGAAGACGGGGGGGGGGGGGGGGGGGCGGTGGGGCAGAGAAGACTGGGGGGGGGGCAGAGAAGACGGAGGGGGGGGGGGGGGGGCAGAGAAGACTGGGGGAGGGGGCAGAGAAGACTGGGGCAGAGAAGACGGGGGGGGGGGGGGGGTCAGAGAAGACTGGGGGAAGGGGGGGGGGGCAGAGAAGACTGGGGGAGGGGGCAGAGAAGACTGGGGCAGAGAAGACGGGGGGGGGGGGGGGGGGGCAGAGAAGACTGGGGCAGAGAAGGGGGGGGGGGGGGGGGGGGGCAGAGAAGACTGGGGGAGGGGGCAGAGAAGACTGGGGCAGAGAAGACGGGGGGGGGGGGGCAGAGAAGACTGGGGCAGAGAAGACGGGGGGGGGGGGGGGGGCAGAGAAGACTGGGGGAGGGGGCAGAGAAGACTGGGGCAGAGAAGACGGGGGGGGAGAAGACAGAGAAGACTGGGGGGGGGGGGGTAAGAAATGTCACTGAGCCGCAATACACAGAATAGACAGAAAATGGAGGAATTCTCAAATGCAGTAAAATAATAAAGACGTCGGAGAGACTGCGGAACTTCCCTTCCTGGTGTCCCAACATCACCGAACTCCTCCGCCCTTCATCAGAAATCTGTGCGAGCTCCAACCAGGGACTGTGTCTAGGCTGGGATGATGTCATCAGTGTGCTGCAGGCAGGAGGAGGCATTTCCCAGTCTCTCCTCCCCCAGTGATCAGACTATACATTGTAACTTTGTAGAAGGAGGAGGAGGCGGTTATTTCCCATGAATACTCCTCCTGGGCGGTTCATACTGGGAGGTGTGTTCTGATTTGTCAGCTCAGGGATATGATTTGGTGCTGTGTTGGTGTTTCTCGCACAGGTGAACCTTTTTAAATGCAGCTGCATGGGAACCCCGAGGAGCTGTGACTGCATTGCAGTGATGTGTGGAGGTGCCAATCAGCCCTCATAATACTCAGAGAATAGTGAGCCACGCATCCCTGCGACCTCACCACTGCAACATCATGGGGATTGCTGGAGATGTATTGTCCCCACCCTCCATATCATGTGATTCAGGTGCTCCAATCCCCTCCATATCATGTGATTCAGGTGCTCCATCCCCTCCATATCATGTGATTCAGATGTTCCAATCCCCTCCATATCATGTGATTCAGGTGTTCCAATCCCCTCCCAATCATGTGATTCAGGTGTTCCAATCCCCTCCAATCATGATTCAGGTGTTCCAATCCCCTCCATATCATGTGATTCAGGTGCTCCAATCCCCTCCATATCATGTGATTCAGGTGCTCCAATCCCTCCATATCATGTGATTCAGGTGTTCCAATCCCCTCCATATCATGTGATTCAGGTGTTCCAATCCCTCCCAATCATGTGATTCAGGTGTTCCAATCCCCTCCATATCATGTGATTCAGATGTTCCAATCCCCTCCATATCATGTGATTCAGGTGCTCCAATCCCCTCCATATCATGTGATTCAGGTGTTCCAATCCCCTCCATATCATGTGATTCAGATGTTCCAATCCCCTCCATATCATGTGATTCAGGTGTTCCAATCCCCTCCCAATCATGTGATTCAGGTGCTCCAATCCCCTCCATATCATGTGATTCAGGTGTTCCAATCCCCTCCATATCATGTGATTCAGGTGTTCCAATCCCCTCCATATCATGTGATTCAGATGTTCCAATCCCCTCCATATCATGTGATTCAGGTGCTCCAATCCCCTCCATATCATGTGATTCAGGTGTTCCAATCCCCTCCATATCATGTGATTCAGGTGTTCCAATCCCCTCCCAGTCATGTGATTCAGGTGTTCCAATCCCCTCCCAGTCATGTGATTCAGGTGTTCCAATCCCCTCCAGTCATGTGATTCAGGTGTTCCAATCCTCTCCCAGTCATGTGATTCAGGTGTTCCAATCCCCTCCATATCATGTGATTCAGGTGTTCCAATCCCCTCCATATGTGATTCAGGTGCTCCAATCCCCTCCATATCATGTGATTCAGGTGCTCCAATCCCCTCCATATCATGTGATTCAGGTGTTCCAATCCCCTCCATATCATGTGATTCAGGTGTTCCAATCCCCCTCCATATCATGTGATTCAGGTGCTCCAATCCCCTCCATATCATGTGATTCAGGTGCTCCAATCCCCTCCATATCATGTGATTCAGGTGCTCCAATCCCCTCCATGGACACAGGTGTATACAATCAAGCCCCTAGGCATGCAGACTGCTTCTACAAACATTGGTGAAAGAACTCAATGGGTCGCTCTCAGGAGCTCAGTGACTCCAAGCGTGGTCCCGTGATAGGTGGCCACCTGGGCAATAAGTCCATCCGTGACATTTCCTGGCTACTAAATATTCCACGCTCAGCTGTTAGTGGGATTATAACAAAGTGGAAGCACTGGGAACAACCAGCCACTCAGCCACCAAGTGGTAGGCCACATCACATGACAGGGCGGGGTCAGCGCATGCTGAAGCGCACAGTGCGCAGAAGTCACCAACTGTCTGCAGAGTCAATAGCTAAAAGACCTCCAAACTTGGTGTGGCCTTCAGATGAGCCCAACAACACAGTGCGTAGAGAGCTTCATGGAATGGGTTTCCATGGGAGCAGCTGCATCCAAGCCTTCCATCACTTGCAATGCAAAGCATCGGATGGGTGGTGTAAAGCACGCCGCCACTGGACTCTAGAGCAGCTGCATCAGCCTTCCATCACCAAGTGCAGTGCAAAGCGTCGGATGCCGTGGTGTAAAGCACGCCGCCACTGGACTCTAGAGCAGCTGCATCCAAGCCTTCCATCACCAAGTGCAATGCAAAGCGTCAGATGCCGTGGTGTAAAGCACGCCACCACTGGACTCTAGAGCAGGGGAGACGTGTTCTCTGGAGTGGACCAATCATGCTTCTCTGTCTGGCAATTCGATGGGCGTGTCTGGGTTTGGCGGTTACCAGGAGAACGGTACTTGCCTGACTGCATTGTGCCAATTGTAAAGTTCAGTGGAGGGGGGGATTATGGTGTGGGGGTGTATTTCAGGGGTTGGGCTTGGCCCCCTAGTTCCAGTGAAGGGAACTCTTAAGGTGACATTTTTTTGGACAATTTTCATGCTCCCAACTTTGTGGGAGGAGTTTGGGGATGGCCCCTCCCTGTCCAACATGACTCCCACCAGTGCACAAAGCAAGGTCCATAAAGACATGGAGGAGCCAGTTTGGGGTGGAGGAACTTGACTGTCCTGCACAGAGTCCTGACCTCAACCCCATAGAACACCTTTGGGATGAATTAGAGCGGAGACTGCGAGCCAGGCCTCCTCCCCCGACATCAGTGTGCCTTCACCTGACCTGACAAATGTGCTTCTGGAAGAATGGTCCAACCTTCCCATAGACACCCTCCTAAACCTTGTGGACGGCCCCAGAAGAGGCAAAATGGCCCAGAACCCTACGACTAGAGGCAAAAGGGTGGGGCCAACTCAATATTGAACCCTACGGACTAAGACTGGGGGGCCATTAGGGCTCTGTTCACACTTGTGTGACTCCAGAGACTTCGGATGGGTGCAACTTGGATACGACTTTGGCTTCGATGAATGATAATGGATAAAGGGCTGAGATTTCCTACCACTTCCGGTTGTCTCTAGGACCAGAAGTGACTAGAAATCTGCCACATGGGGACACACACCGGAGATCTATCTCCCTCCTGACTTTGCCTCCAGTCCCGTCCTCTGCGGTGTCCGGGGATCAGCCCGCCACGGGGGTCAATAAGGAGAAAGGCGGAAAATCCCCCTAAATCAGGGACCGGTGGGAGAGCCGTCAGATGACGTCATCAGAGGGCGGTTCTGTCGATGTAGATAACCAATGGGACTAATAGCTGCATCCATAGCACACGATCCGCCCTCTCTGTCCGGCCAGCCAATGTGTAACCCAGGAATTGGAGCACCAGCCCCGCCCTTCTTCCAGTCGTTATGGTAACGGGGCGAGGCCACATCGGAACGCTGCGAATGGAGGGGGAGCGTGGTGATCACGTGAGTTTCAGACGGATGCCCGCTATTGGATGCCGCCCCAGACTCCCGGCATCCCCCGCGTGTAAACAGGAATGGCGGAGGAAGAGGGAGAGGAGGATCTGATCAACAACAACCACAACATGGGGAACCAGCTGCAGCTCATCCCGGGTACGGCCTGACCCCGCACCTACCCGCTACTTCCCTCCAACCCCGCCCACCTACCCCTGCACGCCGCCCACCTATCTCCAACATGGGGAACCAACTGCAGCTTATCCCGGGTACGACCTGACCACGCCCACACACCTCTATACCCCCCGCCACCTGCCCTCTACTCCCCCCTACCCCTCCACCCCGCCCACCTACCTCCAACATGGGGAACCAACTGAAACTCACCCCAGGAACGACCAGACCACGCCCCCACACCTCTACACCCCGCCCACCTTCCCGCTACTCCCCCTTCAAACCCCCGCCCACCTACTACTAACCTCTGCCAACCCCACCCACCTACCTACTACCCCTACAACCCACCTACCTCAACTCCACCCCACCTACCTACTAACCCCCCTAATGCCCACGCCCACCCTAACATGGGAACCAACTGAAGCTCTCACCCCCAGGTACGACCCTGACCCCCCCCCTACATCTACTCACCCCACCCACCCCTACTCCCCTTCCAACCCCCGCCAACCTACCTTCTACCCCTCCAACCTCCCCTACCTACACACTCCACTCACCTACACCCCCTAACCTCCCACCCACCTACCTACTACCCCCTCTAACCCCCGCACCAACCTACCTTCCCTCCACCGCAGACACCGACCCCCCTAAACTATTCACTTATCCCCCGCCCCAACCCCCCTCCTACTACATCTATACCCCCACCCACCCACCCACCCACCTACCTACCCCACTACCCCCCTCCAACCCCGCCCACCTACCTTTACTCCCCTCCAAAACCCCGCCCCCCTACTACATCCACACACCCCACAAAACCTACCTACTACCTCCTCAAACCCCACCCACCTACGTCAACTCCACCCACCTACCCTTACTACCCAACAACCCCTCCCACCTACCTCCACCCGCCCGCCCCACCTACCTACTACCCCCTCCAACCCCGCCCCCCTATATCCACACACCCCACAAACCTACCTGCTACTCCTCCAAACCCCACCCACCTACACTACCACCCACCCACCCTAACCCAACTCCACCCAACT